AAATAAAGCTTCTCGCTTTAAAAAGAAAATTATGAAAATCAAGAAGTGGGGAAAATATGGAACAACAGTGACAATACTGAGAAGTGGATGAAAAAAACGAGACAGAAACTGGTCAGAGAGGCCACAGAGAAGACTACAGCAACCCTGAAAGAAGTGCAGAAAATCTTTTTAACAAACTGATTGGGTGACACAATTCTCCTGTCTTCTCCATGAGAGTAGAAAAAGATTTTCTCAAAGCAAAAAAAAAAAAAAAAAAACTTTCATGTCCGGATACTCCCTAAAATGGGGTTCTGGTTTGACGAATTGAAGCTGACCATTCCAAAATGTAACAATGTTAATGTTTCAAAACTTAAACGTTTTATAGAGGTTTCATTTTTTTAACACAGCAAATCCTGGCATTTAACAGTGGGGTGCCAACTTTTTTATACCACTGCCTCATTTCCTCAGTAGAGCGTGTAAGGGTTGGCCAAACACATAGCGTGTCGCATGTAGTTCAACAAGGTCAGCCTTACATCCACACAACCCSAGGAAGAGCTGGCTTAGCAGAAAGCAGCTAATATTACAGCCGTRAGCGTGTGTGGCCAAAAACATACCTATACACCAGAGAGGGAGTTTCCTTTTTTAAGTGTTRATGTACAAAAACAGGATCGTATGAAAGGCAGGAATCTCAGGAAAGATTGGAGAAGAAAAAAAGACAGAGAAAACAATGGCTATGAAGGAGTTATCCCCAAATSATCAAAGAAAGATGAAAAAGACAGCGTTTCCTTCCTGATCATCTGTTAGACTACTCATTGCTTCTGAGACCCTACTGCTGGAGTCTGTGACGTGAGGCCCCYATATTTACCCTGACAGGATATTAGTCTGATACTTTGATGGGAATCTCCTTCCACATGTARCACTGAACAATGTGGGGGAAACCTGTAACATTTACACAAACACACAAACCCCCCGCAGACTGATGGGGAAAGTTTCAGTTATTTGCAAAAAGTAAATGGCAGCAGTCTACATGTTGTTACTCAAAATCATACCTGGCCATGGGGAATTCAGCTGTTTTCCTTTTGCTGCTAAGATCCTAAATATTTCAGCTGCTGAACAGACTGGCTTGCTTTATTATTATTTTTTTGGCTATTTCATCCAATTTTAAGGGATGTTCTGTGGAAAAGTTATAAACGGTAAACATATTTCCTGTTGCAGATGTTTCTGAATGACTTCAGTTTGGAAAAATAGAGTTTAAATCCAACAGGATGAACCATCTGCTCCAAACGCAGCCAAGTCTAAAGTGAATTGTCTGTCGCTGTTTTTACAAATGATGTTTTTAAACCTTTCACAGTTAAGTCAGTTTCTCAGTACATGCTGTAGTTTTTATATAGAATTTCACAAGCGGCAGCAGTAGCAGCTAGCTGTAACTCTTTAGTCGGTGTCTGGGACACTTCCTGCGGGAAATTTACTATATGTCTTCTGAAATAAACACGTTATTTGAAACTGGTGATGTAGAGATCTGAAGGAAGTTTTAAGATGGCACTTATGTCCAAACTGGACCACTTTTACAAATCCTGCCTGCACCCGAAGTGCTMCAGCTAGCTGCTGCTGCCATCGCTGTCTGCAGATAACCATCAAATTTGTAGTAATGGCTTTGTTCTGTGAAACTGATGGTAGAGTAAARCTTCATAAAATTGTGTTTGCATGAGCTTCCAAAAAAGGAAATGCAAAGAAAGTCTCTGACAATCCCTGGAGGGGTTAGGAGGGAAAGTGGTTTGCATGCGAGTTCAACTTGTGCCTCAACACAGTTTTGAAGTTTGACACTCAACAAAAAGCACAACAGCTTGAAAAAATTATGGCTGCACGACGGCTCACAGCAAGACGGTCCTGGGTTTGATCCCTGGTTTGGACCCTTCCTTTGGGTTTTCTACGGTTTCCTCCCACAGACAAAAAACATGCATGTTAGGTTGCCTTCAGGCCCAGCCTCCCTTGCAAAAGAGCTCTGTGATGTAAATGAGATTTGCCTGGTTAAATAAAGATTTAAAAAGCAAGAAGAGAYGCCCAGTTGCATTTAGAAAGAACTCTTTTGTTGGCATGAATCATAAAACGTTTGAATTTGTTGTTGTAATAAGACAGCAGCTATCTTTGGTCTGATCCTCACTCAGAATAGCCCACAGCTCATCAGTCCAAACAGTAAATGCTTTGCTCCAAACTGAGTTCATTTGAAAACCTGTCCACCACAAGCCAAAGATTACACTAATTGTATGCAACCTTTCCACAGACCCTGCTTCAGAATGGCAGGAATCCCTTTACGTTTTGGTTGACTGCTATGAATGCTGACACAGTTGTGTCTGTATGTCAGCAGTCACACTCAACTGAGATTATCAGAGGCCGAGAAAAGAGACACTTGACCCTGTCATATTACAGCCACAACTGTGGAGGAGGAGCACGTGATGTATGATATATAGGAATTGAGAGGATGTGTGACAACAAAGAAATAATTGTGTCCAACTGTTGTTCAGCCACAAAGGAGACACTGGATCCCCCTGATAAGCCAGGTAAGTCGTTAATAAACACATCTAAGAGAAGAAAACTACTGTTTGAACAGAGAGGCACTGAGGTGTAATATGACAGAAAAGCATCCGGATTAGGAGCAGGATTCCCAACAGTCCAAACACTGCAGGTGAAGAAAGTTGTTTGAGCCACAGTTGGTTCGCGCTTGTTGATACATCTGCAGCGTCGCGTTGAACGACGAGGGCAGCGTGTGTGTCGCTCAAACTCCTAGCTTCAAAAATCCGCAACGAGCCAATAAAAGGTCACCTCTTCCCTGCTTTTTTGTGCTCATAAAACAAGTGCAGAGCCTGCAGGGGAAGTTTCTCAGGTGGAGCATTAAGGCATGTCGAAGCACGCCGCTTTCTCGTTGAATCGCTCTGGGAATTTGGACTTTGTTACGATCACGTCCAATCCAATTTACTCGCATTAAAAACTTGTCAGGAGTTCTAAAAGTGCAGCATCAACATATTTATGAGCGTTGGGAAATTGTTTCTTGAGTCTTTTTTATTTATTTATTTTTTACAGAAAACGGGTTCTTCCAGTGAAAAAAGGCTTCAAAGTTTAAAAGCATCTTTCATTTGAGTACTTAAAAATTAACACCCCAAATGTTTTATGCTGTTGTCTGTGCCATCTTTGATTTTTTTAGCTGTTTTTTAAAATCTTTTTCTTTGCAAGGCCTTAAAAATAAAACCTGCAGTTGTTGCAAGTGGACATCACACCTCTATCAGATGTGAGACACATTTAATGTTAGAGGAAACAGCCCTTTTTTCTTTTTCTGCTTCTTCTTTTGCTTATAGAGAAGATGCTTCACAATATCAACGATTCTTAAAATCAGTTTCATCCATCATCCCCATCTGTTTGTCACTGAGTGGTTTCATTGTAACTTTGACATTTACAGTAAATGGGTCCAACGCCAACGAATAGCCACTGATTTTGTAGAATATTAAGAAGCAACTGTCTTCAGAGTGTGATGCACGTGAGGGTGTGTTAGAGGAAGTCTGAGGGAATGTGAGGGGTAGAGCTGCCTGTTTTGAGCTTAGACCAACCCCCTGAGCTGCTGCATGTTTCAACTAAAGACTTCACTCCCTCTGCGTTGTCAGTTGGACGGTGACTAACCGGCTGCTCCTGGTTGGATTCTCCTGAGTGAAACGCAGATGAAGAGCAAGATAAAAACAACGCAACACCAACAACCGAGGTAAACTCTTTTTTTAATTGGCACGTCTGATGCAATATGTGAGAAAGTTTGTTGCTGATGACTTTTGCTTTTGATATTTCTCACACAGCTGTAACTGTGTGGAATTTAAACAGCAATATGAGAGAGAATTTACAAGATCTCATAGAGTTGTTTTTTGGCATAAAATTGTACCAAAGTAAAATTTATGTGAAGTTTAAAATCAAACTCTTATTACAATGAAACTAAACTTTGGTCAAAAAGTTTTAAAATGTAGAACTCTTTTAATATAAATCAAAAACTTTTGTTTTAATGTTTCTGTTTCACAACTCAATCATTCATTTGACAATTTAAAATTCATATTTTGACTGAGTCAGTGTTATAAAGTGAATTGTCACCAACGTAGCCAGTTCATTTACAAGATTCCCATCAGCGGATCAAACAAGTTAAAGTGTCCAGGTTAAACATAAACATCTGATCCAAGAAGAGGCAAAACATCCCACGGTGACTCAAGGAATGCCACCTTAATCACCAGAGACTGTTAAACTGTTTTAAACTCATTATTAGTAGTTATAGTTATAGGCGGTAAAGGTCAAAAAAATTGAAACGAGCTGTATCTCTCTAAAAACAAAAGTTAGAAGTGGCAGCTTTGGGCTGTCTTCTAACTGGAGGGTTGGGGGTTAGACCTTTAGCTCCTGCAGCTTAAAAGTCCCTGAACAAAACACTGAACTCCCAACTGCCCCTCGATATACAACTGTGCTGAATGGGTGAATGAGASACATGAAGGACCTGCGGAGGTTAAAAGGAGCTACGTTTGTGTGTATAATTTATATAAATTCATATTTTTCATGATTCTGCATCGTGAGAGTCCTGCTGCAAGCTTACAGTGACAGACGGACTTTAAAGAAACTGCAACAATTAAAATATTTAGTTTTATTTTCCACATTGTGAACACAAATAGAAATGATCACTTGTTTGATTTCTGAAGATTAAKAAGTCAGTATTTCTGTTTAAGTGAAATGTGTTCATCCTTTAACTTTTTATAATGATTCATGTAACTTTGCAGATTTTATTTAGAAATGATTGTTAAAGGTGTTTCTTTTTCTTTTCTGTATTTTTCAACATGCTTTTTATGTCTTTCCTCAGTTTTTGGACCCAGTAACCAGGCAGAGCTCAAGAGCACCGTCTTCTGGCAAAARAAAGGATACGTCTACAAGGATTCTGCTGGATTCCACTGTATCAACTCTGCTCTTGCTGCCGAGTGCATTTCAACAAAATGAATTTATAGCTAAAACTGCGTTCAGAGTAGAAGAACAGCAACAGCCAACATGGAGGACTGTGTATCTTCCACTCCCTCTGCTCCCTTGTCTGATGGCTACCTGGCCGTCTTTAGGGAGTACCTAAAGAAATCTGTCATCTGGATCCATTACAACTACACTGGCAAGTTGAAGGACGACCGCAACATTGACAAGCTGAAACCTGTCAGCATTTTGTTTGTGGTGGTGTGTCTCCTCATCGTCCTGGAGAACGCTGTGGTTCTCATAGCCATCTGGAGGAATAAGAAGTTCCACGTGCCCATGTATTACCTGCTGGGGAACTTGACTCTGTCAGACCTGCTTGCTGGGATTACCTACATGGCTAATATTCTTTTGTCAGGACACAACACTTTAAAACTGACACCACTGCTGTGGTTCCTCAGGGAGGGAGGGGTCTTCATCACGCTGGCCGCCTCCATCATCAGCCTGCTGGCCATTGCCATTGAGCGCCACATCACCATGACCACGATGCGTCCGTATCATGGGGCAAAGAAGGGACGGATGTTGGGGCTGATTTGTGCGAGTTGGGCCCTGTCGGGGCTTCTGGGGATCCTCCCAATTCTGGGCTGGAACTGTATACACAAACTGGACCAGTGTTCGACGGTGCTCCCACTTTATGCCAAAACCTACATTCTGTTCAGCATATCCGTGTTCTCCGTGGTGCTTTTGGCCATCGTGGTCCTCTATGTTCGGGTTTTCCGCATCGTCCGCACCAACACGCAACGCCAGCGGACGAACTTTAAGAACAGCATGAGGAAGAGCTCGCTGCGGAAGTCGCAGAAGTATGTCGCCCTGCTCAAGACAGTAACCATCGTACTGGGTGTCTTCATCGCTTGCTGGCTGCCCCTCTTCATCCTCCTCCTTATTGACTTTTTCTGTCCAACGGGTCAGTGTCAGCTGCTTAAAAAGCCCGACTACTTCCTTGGAGTGGCCATGTTCAACTCCCTCCTCAACCCCATCATCTACACTCTGACCAGTAAGGACATGCGGCGAGCCATTCTCAAGCTGCTCTGTCGGCCATGTCTGATGACCAGAGATGGACAGGTGAAAAAGATCGGGATGCCATTCCTGGAGTGCAGTTTCAGTAAAACCGAGGTTCCCTCTCAGAAGCTGGAACACGGACAGGAGACGACTATTTCCTCTGGGAATGTCGTCACCACTCCATCCACCATTAAAGCTCTTTACCCAAAACTCCTCAAGCCATAAAGACTGTGATTCTTGGATGTAAAGTTCAAAAGACTGTGAAAGGGTTCCCCACTTTACAGAGGACATGTAGCACATCTTTTAATGACAGGACGTAGCCTCGATGTTTTCAAATCTGAAAGCCAGAAAAATAATTAGCATGAAATTCAACAGAGGCACAAAGAAACATGTTAAGGCTTCATGTTTGGCATGTGAAAAGTGACTGAGTTAAAGTGGTATATTATGGCAATAAACTTTACATGATTACAAAACCAAATGCCATAAAGGTGCCATTCAAATGTGAGCAACATGCATTTTTATGGTTGTGTTGGCAGCAAAAAGACTCTACGTTTCAGAACTGAAAGGTGGTTTCTGACAACATGAAAAGAGGAGACATTGTCTTCAAAGGTTGCAGGACTAAAGGTGAAGATTCAAGGTCTTAATGTCTCTTTCATTGCAGGGTTTTTTAAAAGCAGCACTTGTAGTTTGTGATGCAGACTTCTGGGTTTCGCTGGTTCGAAATCCCATGGCACACAAGCGCTGCAGAGAAACCGTTTTTCTCCCTTCTACATATGTTTGTGTATAGAATGCAGGGAGAGAATAGAAGGGGATTGATTACAGAAAAAAAGAGCACTAACATTTTTTTTAAACGCAGCTCAGTGGAGAATGCTGGGGTATTGTTGTGGGAGGACTGGCACAAAACGAAACTTCCCACGCAGTGTTTCGAAATGATACGAGACAAACCTGATGTGGGAGAGTAAGGCTGTTGGGCTGGTGTCCAACTTTTTTTTTTCTTTTTGAAATGTTACTTTTGCAGTTAAACTGCTACAGCAACAAAACCAGCAAAACGTCAAATGTGACTAATCAGTGCATGTGAAAAAATGTTTGGGACTTATTTGTGTTGTGACATGCTAATTATTTAACTTTGACTGAAACAGAATCAGTAAACAAGAACATCAAGATTTCATTTTTTTTAAACTTGTGAACAACAGTAAAGTTTCTGCACTCATTAGTAAATTACATGGAAAGAAGGCAGACACATTTTTTCTTTTCACTATTCTTAATGAACATTTCTGTCTGAGGTACATTTTGTTTAATTAAATTCAGCTCACAGACTATTTTAGCTGTCTCTCTGGACCTAAAGTTATGAATGGGTTACTTCTTTGTACTATCTGTGTAGTAAACTTTCTGCTTTTCCAAATACATTTTTTAACATCTGTTTTGTAAATTATATCTATTTTATTACATGCAAATGAAACATTACATTTCTTTTGTTAAAAGAAATAAAATATTTTTGAAGTGAAGGAGCACGTGATTTATTTTCAGTGTGTGTAACATTTATAAATGAGTCTGTCTGTGTGTATTTTTTGTGCAGTGAAGGTTATGAGCAGAGAGACCACAGGAAGTCAGCCCCCTTGTCTCACATCTGGTAATGACATTGGCCTACATACACCAGGGTCTGCTTGTCTCAGACAGACTCGAGCAGCAACACAAAACAGCTTTTTTATGCTGAACACTGTTTTTCCCCCCTTTTTTTAAAGGTCAACTAGATATTTTGCAAACCTTTATACTGTTATTTATTTGACATTGCRTGGCTATTCTGGAAGAAACATGATGGTCCTGCAGGAAGACTGCAAATTCAAATTAAAATAAACCTTTATATTGCCATCAGTTTTAGGAGTTAGTGCTGAAGACTTGGTCACTTCTGGAAGAATAGCATGATATAAGGCAAGGCATGTTTAGCACAACTTAAAGGGCTTTACACGCAAATAAAATATTGTCACAAAGTGCAAAAGAACAATAAAAGCATATAGAAAGATAATATTTTGAAATTACAGATGCTCAATAAAAGAACATTTAATAAAAGATAAAGGATTAGAAATTACAGAACAAAATAATTAGCTGATTTACTTTAATCAAAGGCAGCAGCAAAAAGATCAATCGTCAACCTTGTTTTAAAGAAGCTCACAGTCGGAGTGGTTGGACAGTTTTCTGGAGGATTGTTCCAGATATTTGTTGCACAAAAGCTGGATGCAAACTTCTGCATGCTTGGTTCTGACTCTGGGGACATGGAGCAGATTAAAACCAGATGACCTCAGAAGTCTCCACGGTTCTGCAGAAGATCAGAGATGTATTTTGGATCCAGTCTGTGTAATGCTTTGCAAACTAGCAACAAGTTTTTAAAATAAATCTTTAGAGCAACAGGAAGCCAGTGCAAAGAAGTGACTCTCTTTGTCTTTGCAAGGCCTTGGTGTATGCCAGAATTATAAGCTGTGGTGTCAATGACAACATAAAAATGAACAGTGTRGAGTTCATATGAATTATCTTACATATTTTTTTAGATTGTTTCTGTTTAACTTTGGTTATAAGAATGTTGTTAAGATGGTAGCAAACCTATCGTGGTCTTTGCATCACTCTGACAAGTCAGAATTAAACTCTGTTTTTACTCCAAATTGAAGTTCACAGAGCTACTGTATCTGTGGTATGTTTACCATGAACACTTGAAAATATCCAAACTATTGATTTTAAAGCATAGATCACCCATTAGGATGGAAAAGTAAATGTTCCGTGAGTTAATTAATACCTACAAAAACTAATTGGTCATAAAGAGACAATGATTTAGGTGTTGAATAAATCTATTTTAGCTTTAAAAACTGTGGCTTTGAACATTTAGGTTTGTTGATGTAGAACATGTCCTGTACAAAAAGACCTCAGATGACTTCTAAACAAAAAACATCTGCTTTTCAACAACTAAAACCGGCTGCAAAGTCATATTTAGGTACAGAGAGTTTCAGTGCCTAAATCAGGGGCAGCATTCTAACAACTACAGTAGTTGCATCCTGTTTGATTTAATCCAGAGTAACCCGAAGATGGCTTGTCTGTGATAAGCAGTTCAGTTACACCGAAACGCCTTTGATATGATGTGATTTGTAGTGGTGCAGATGTTCATCCAGATGTTACCTGGATGCAGGAGGGCTGTGTCTGCTGACAGAGGTCAGACGGTCAGGGCCTCCTGCCTTCTGTTGAAACCATACACCAAACTAGCAAGGTGACAGTCATAGGTCATCAGTGATCACCAGGGACACGTGTGCAGATGCTCACCTTACTGCTCCTTCCTCCCACTGCAGATCAGGAGCTCCAACATGACAAAAACTGTTGACAGAGCAGCAACTGGGTGCAGCTTTGATCCTTTAGTTAGGCCTGCATTCTCACGCTGGGCTTTTGGTGCCACCTTGTGACTATTAGAAGGAACGTGCTGCACAGGCCAACCATTTTGACCTGAATTACATATTTTTGCAACGTGGGGGAAAACTGGTGTGTCAGCAGCACCTGCCTGGGCCAAGCAGGCTTCTCTGAAGTTGCCTGTCAACACTGGAGCAGTTCACAGATCTGTTTGTCACCAGGGAAGAGTCTCGACAAGTAAGGTGAATGGCATTTACTCCCAGGTTATTATAGGGCATTTACTTACAACATCATGTTTTCATTGAGCAATCTTTGGAAGGTTATGGGGGGCATTAGTTTTGTTCAAAAGAAAAAAATATTTTGGAACTGGAAAAAAAAAGATATTTGAAACTGAAAAATTATTTTGAAACTGAAAAATTATTTTGAAACTAAAAAAATACAGATTTATTAAAGCAATCAGCACTTTTAAACAATGACATTTTATTGCTACACTTTACCACTTTCTTACAATGTTTTGACATTTGTCTAATATGATTTGGATTATTTTTGTACTAAGATTTATTTGTTTTGACTGTGCATTTTGCAATGAAACGTTTCGTCTTTTTTAAGGAAAAAAAGGGGTCTGGTTGGTTTTTGGTGACATTTGGTTAGTTTTGGAACTGTGTTGACATTTTGGCTCTGCTTTTTTAAATTAATTAATTTTTTTAAGCTCTCATAATCCCTTCACAATAAAAGTCTCCCGACTCCTGAGCGCCCTACCTTCCATTACACGTCAACGGAGGCGGGTCTCGCGCAATGAAACAGGCTTTTATTCTGAAGGCGGCGAGAGACCGACACAATGCTTAGTCACCGTGAGTTACAGCTTTCCCCCTCCGATGTGGAGTCCTGCTCGACAGACCGTGATGGAGGAATTGAGCTAGCATACGTGGGGGTTCCCTTTATTTGCACAAATTTAACAGGTTAGTCATACTTAATCTTATAATTCTGAGCACATCTGTGAGCGCTTGTAGCCAAATATTAGGTATATGTTAGCTTTAGCATATTTACAGGTATCGGCTCACACAGTGGTTACTCTACTTCTATTATTAGGAGCCTGTCTTTCTGTTTTCGAAACATTTAGCTGGTTTTATTTGGTCACCATCGATTAAAGTCTCGTTGCAAACTTGAAGTCAATGTATGTCAGCCGTACACGCCAGCTTCCTTTACTACTTTAATGAGAACGAGCTCTGACCTTTTTATTGCTCGGAGCGAAAAAGCCGAAATAAACAGCGCTTTGTGTCAGGTAGGGAGGCAGGCGGCGCGGAAATCTAATTCCGTCCGGACCGAGGGTCTTATGTAAGGACAAACTCWACTTCTGGGTCGTGTTTTTGGTACAGCCAGTTCTACTGTTTTGCTTGGTGAGGAGTTCACGGTGAGTCACGCAGAAAAAAGCAGGAGGGAGGCGCTCACAGCTCGAAAAAAAGAAAAATGCTAGCGGTGGAGCATGTTCAGCACGGTTTGTTTATCTTGTTGCTTGACCTCGTTTAACAATAATATCCATGAAAGTCGAGTCGGTTGTTGTGCATCTCTTAGACTGAGGACTGCAGGCCTGAAAGGTGGTCCTAACTAAGGTCCAGGGTCCATAAGAGTCTGAATGAGGTATGAAAAAGTAGTCTCGTGATTATCACACTGTGATTGTTTCTGCAAGGTTTATTATTGGAATAGAAAAATATTCAAAATTTTAATTTGGACAACGAGGCCACACTTGGTCTTGTACCATTATTCGTCTATTTCAGCTCACTCACCTCATTTATTTTAGAAAAGTCTTGGTTTGTAGATTGAAAGAAAAAAAAAAGGAATTTAATCTGTGTGTTGCATAATATGGGTTAGAATTGGGAAAAGGGAAGTACACAGACTATTTATAAAACTCCTTTCACACAGATGAGTGTAGCCTAACCTACAGAGACAGCCAAAGTGAATTTTGATGTGTTTATGCTCAGATTTGTTGGGTAAAGTACACAGAGAAAGTGATGAGTTAGTTTGAAACTATAAACTTGCCAGTCTAGAAGAGGTTTAGCAAACATCGGAACATATTAATCTTTATAATGCCCACCCTGTTTTATCCTTAGTATTTATTGTCTTACTTTTTTTTCTGTTTTCTTTTTCATTTAGCAGAAGATTCACTCTCACATTCCCAGCAGCGACCTGAGAATAAATAACCTTTAATTACAAACTTTTAGCGTGGATTCTGCAATTGGCTCGAATGTGATTTTGACAYAACTACTCTTTCTTTCAGGGCTGTTTGGACCCAGTCGTATCAACCTGCCTCTTTTACAAAGTAGAAAGCTAAAAGAGGTTTAAGCACAATTTGTCATAGCTCCAAATGGGTTCCTTGTTTAGTCAGAGGTGAAATATGTGAAATCTCCAGCTCATACACAGACTGATACTTGAGCTGGATGTTTGTCAGTCAGCAATTTGTGCACCAAATGGGGAGTTGAGCAATATGTATTTCTGTGAAACTGTTTCTCAGAAACTCGGAGGGATAAAAGTGCGGCAGTGAATCAGACTCACTGGGAGTTTCATATTACCGTACATAACTGGGTAACTAAACGTTAACTGGTTGGACGTGACACTCATTGATGACTTAAAAATAATCTTTTGCATTAAAAAGCTTATAGTTTGCTCCGTTTTGACCATTTAAAGCATCTTATCTGCTGAACTGTCTCCTGCTATCGTCAACTCAGGTAATCATTAGTGTTTGCAAT